ATGACGCGACTTCATGCGTGGGACGTACGGTATCATTGGAGAAATAAAGTGGACGACGCTATCGCGATCGTACGGTCGTTGAATCTGTCACGCTTATGTCTCCGGCGACTCTTTTTCGCCCTTTTTTCTAGAGACTCGTAGGAGAGTTGGCGAAATGTTTGCGATCGAGAAACTCGTCAAGAAGCACTGTTGTAATAAAAATCGTTAGATTCCTTAAATAAAAAATGTAACGAACATTTGGATAAATGTAATCAAGATTACTAACCATTAATTTGTTATAAATGTTAATTGTTATAATGTTATAATTTGTTATAAATTTGTTATAAATGTTATAAATTAAATTGTGTATAAGAAAATGCGCATATAGACTTGTATATATTAATTTCACTTAATATAAAATAGTTCTTCTTAATTCCATAAAGAATTGACAAATGAAAAAGATGTGCGTGCGATAAGTCTAATATCGAGAGTCTTATGTCCATTTTTTATTAATGTTAATCTTGGTTTAACTTACCTTTCATCTTTTTCTAGGTCCAAGAGTTAGAAAAAGATGGAAAGTAAGTCAAACCGAGACAAAAGTTAATCTACATTGATAGAAATGGACATTAAAGAGTTAAAGTCGATATATAAACTGTGTCTGTACGATTTTGAAACTGTACAATTTGTATCAAAACGACAGACCTTAAAATCGATCTGTTCGCGTCGTAACCAACCGATGGCTTCTTCAAAGCAAATGTTTCAGGGAAGAACTTGAAGGACAGCGAGATTCGCGGTCGGCGCTGCCGACGATCGGAGGGGTGGTCCCGGGGGTCAATTCGAAGCTCCGCCGCGTTAATTCGAGCCTGCGACGAAGGCGCCCGCGGTAAGTGGGGCGTGATTTGTATGGCCTCCTTGCATAATGATGACAGACCGAAGGGGGGCTCGTTTTGCGACACGTGCGCGAACACGTGAGCGAGTCGGCGGAGCGCGTTCGACTGTGACACGTCGGCCGCTTGGCCCTTGGCCCTGGAGCCCACCGCCACCCCTTGGGAGCCCCTTTTCATCGTCCTGCTCTACATATCTCCTCGAACGTACATATCTCTCGGACGGGTAGATAAGCATCGATGAATGTATAGCCGGTATTATCGATGATAAAGATAACATTCGCGTTGCAGCTCGCGTCGCCGCGAAAGTTATTCCGCGAGAATGGCTTTAAATATAAAATAGACAATCTGCAATGCGCGTGTAGAAATCTGGAAAGCGTCAAATATCATATTAGAAGAACTTAGATATTGATAATACGGGCAAGAAAGAGTTTGTCGGCGTAATAGTCGTGTTAATAAATGACGAACATTAATTACCATATAATAGCCGAAAGTCAAATTAATTCACAAATAAAAAATTTTGTTGTTGCTCACGAAATTATTTATTGTAATAATATAATTAAGTAAAGTTCAACGTGTATAATATCAAGCCATTAATTAAGAAATTTTCACTTGTTTCATTTGCTTCTGTAATGATTCAAATTCCGAAATAATGATGGCAACAAAATTCTGTGAAATATTATCAGATTTTTATTCTGCCGATGTGTGCAATAAAAATCTAACAAAATCTCACAGAATTTTGTCGCAATTGCCGTAATTTCGGTAACACGCGCGGTATATTCAGGTATATACAATAAGAGTGCGTAAGAATGTCGGCCGGCTTGCTTCGGCGCTCTCGTTTTCTTGCTCCGTGTAAACGAGGGTAATAGAAGAACACAAGGATACGCGAGGGCCGGGGGTGCGAACCCCCCGGGACGGTTTGTCCCTGCAGGACTCCCACGGGAGGCCGTGGTAGTTCCTGGGGCACGGAGGCGGGCCGCACATCTGTCGAATCTCCCGAGAGATATCCCGCGGAAGACGCGCGTATTACACGGGACGCCGACGCCTCCGTCGACGTCATTACAACGCGCGTTACATGTGCTCTCTCGCTTCTCCAGCTAGATTACACCCCAAACTTTCGCCACATGGACAGTTAAAGCGGGTGGCGCCTAAAAATTCTCCGGAGGGAACAAAGCGCTTTTAACGACGTTAAATTATTTCGCGAAGGCATGTATATGGGTGAAAAAAAAGGTTGTTGACAGAATTGTAACTTATTGCCTCGCTGAAGATGTTCAAGTATATATAATGCGTATGTATAAAGGAATCAAATAGAACATTGTACTTCCTTAAAAAAAAAAGGTTTCAAAAAGAAAGAAAACAGAAATGAGAGCCATAAATAAGGCCATTGGTACTATGTGAAAAAATATTTTCTTGGATCTACCTACTTTTTTTTCAGTGTATATTAAATAAATAAGCTATTAGGAGTCACCTAA